AAGTCAGTGGTGAAGTCTGGCAGTCCTAAAGCACAAGACATTTTATTGTTGTCGTGGAGCAATCAGACCTCTTTGGACTAACTGTTATGGCACACGCCACGAGAAAGTGATGTTAGGTAACTCAGAATGAACTCTGATAACAGTGTTACAGTATCGGCTTGATTAGGAGAAACGGTGTAACGGGATATGGCTGTGACCAAAAATGTGTGATCATCATTTGATTCCACTTCGTGTGAGAATTCGAGCCCACCGAAACTAACTAGTTTTTACACGTTCTAATCAGTTTCCAAAACTTTCTATCATGAACACTCTCATTCAGATCTCTCAATATCTTTTGAGGGAGAAATTGAGAGTAACCGCACATTTCTAGATCTTTTTTGTAACCAGATGACCAGATGACTCCTTCAACCATTCTGTTTGCCACAGACCCACTTAAACCAAGAAGTATCTACAATAATAGGATTTTATTCCTTCTGCTTTCAAAAAAGTCCCGTGTGCACTTTGTTCGGTCGCACTAGATATATTTGTACTGCTGACTCAGTAAGACATGAAATCCTCACAAGCATCACACCTAAGAAAGAAAGGAATTAATTGATTCAGTATATTCAGGCTTTAACGAGAGCCTCATTTGTTACTAAAAGCATTTTATTACGGTTGCACCATAAGAAGGACTGCTCCATTGCTTGCTGAAATCAATTCTTATGCATCTAGTCGCTCAGGCGAACTCGTCAACATCAAAGAGACAAATAAGTCTCCGATACGCACGCGTGTTTTATCCAATCTTTCCACCTCACTTGTTGTACATTGTCACATGCGGTTGTGATCATACTGACATTCGTGGAACAGATAGGACTCCTCCCAGAATATTCATCCCACTGTCTGGGTCAGGTGAATAACCAATTGACCAATGGACTGCAAGTTGAGATCCGACAGCCTCCTCTATCGACCGTGAAACACAAGGCCGAACACGGAACAGCCTTCAGACTCACTTTAGAATGTCAGCCTGAAGTTTTGGCGTTCTGTGGGGCTATGTCAATCAGCAAACAGCGACACACTGTATGCCTAACAGAATACATCGATCGGTTCACCGGCAAGCATGAGACGGCAAGCATGAGCCCACCGAACCATACATTGACCCTCTACACTTGAGAGTTGTGATGCACATACCGAACTATGAAACAGAATCAGTTGGGTGAATTGAAACAGTCGGATCGAAACGAAGGGAGTACTCAGTGTTCTTTAGCAAACATCCCAGGGGTGTTTCGACTCCCTAGGTTTTAGAAGCAGGTAAAGAGGATTCAACCAGCACATCGACTGAGAAATTAAAGAAAAATGGCGGCTTACCGAATGTGGTGAACTCAGGGGAAAACTTCCCGTAGACATGTACGCGGGTGAAGGCATATATAACCTGCATAATAGGCAATAATTTAGAAGGAACACCCTTCATCGCCAGACAGTGCCACAGTTTCTGACGGAGTCAAAAGCAGATGTTAGATAGAAAACAACGATTATTGCTAATCGTCGGAAGTGATGGCACAATTTCAACACTGATCACAAGGTGAAGGCATGATCGACGCAGCTACGGCTAGAGCGAAACCTAGCTTGTTTCTCGCCAGTCAGACATTCCTGTTGATGGAGCAGTCTGCGTAGCATAATAAGAGAGGGCATATTAGAAGCCATGGACACGAGGCTGAAGTCCCGGTGGTTTTGGTATGCTGTTCTTGCACTCTTGTTGAACATGGCAGCCACCACCGAGTCGCTTCTTCTGCTGTTGATTCTTTCCTGACTTCACATATTTTGGAGTAAAGTTGTTAGGTTGGTCGTGAGGGCTCACCACCTCCATTAGCGTTCAGGATGCAAACCGCCTGAATCTGGTGCTTTGTTGCCATGACGCGATAAATTCGCACGCAAAATTTCTGCTCTCACTTCGAAGTTCCACTCGGGTCAGTTTGTTTCTTCCCGAAGTTCAGCTGATGTGGGACAGCTAAACTGCCCATCAATCAAAACGTCCTTTCTATGAATGGAATGTGGTCCCATATTTTTTGAGGACATTTTCACCCACATCCGCCATTCTCGAACCGGTCAATCATATTATATGGAACAAGGTGTGATTGTTTCCTGTTAGAAAAGCTTTCATCATTTTCCGGACCTTTAAAATCCACCAGCACCGTGCGTCAATCCTTGAGCTACTTATTAGTCGCTGTCTGAGGGCTTTGAGTGGGCCATCATAGTATAATTTTCTTGCCTCTAGTTGGAACTGCTGGTCGTGACGAGATCCAGTGTTAATCGGGGTGTGCGAATGACCTCGGTAGGCAGTTACATAGCCTATGAGCAAGGCTACCTTCAGCTTTCACAGTCCTCTCCAAGTCGCTATTACTACCACTGTGCCCGTCAAGTTCTGAAAGCTTGTCAGCCAACTCAACTCGATACTGTTGAGCTATGCAGACGCTTTATAGGCGATAACCTCAATGGCTTTGCATCACCCACCGTGTTTCAGCCGAGAAGCAAATGGATACGTGCGCCTCTACAGTGCCTTGAGCGAAGTCCATTGGTTTACTCCAAAATGAAGGATAATTCTGTGTGGGCGCACTCCACCGGCAAGTGATTACCACATAGTTCCAACGGGGCCATGGCTGTTTTGCAGTTGGTGGCCTTCAAGTCACGGCGTGAGCGCCTGTGTCTAAAGTTTACGCTGGGTAGAAATGAGTAATGTTCAGTACATAACCGAAGAGATAGTCCTACATTATCCGTGTGATAATTTGTGGTAAAATGACGAATATACACTCAATTGCAAACTAATTGAGTTTTCGAGAGACTCATCTGGAACTCAGTTGAATCTCTCGTTTGTGGTGTTTCCAGGCAACTGAATGCGCCGCACCAGGTTGCTTCATTTTTCAGTCGCTATCATAATCGAGATACCGTGACACATGTACATTTGTAATGCACTACTCATAAAGTTGCTGAAAATCCGTCGGCATTTGCAACAGCAAACAAAGCACCCAAACTTTCGATATTTTGACACATTGTAGCACAACAATTTACAGATTATCTCACTTCAAATAGTGATGAAACGTTTGCATCCTAAGTGGTCAGATGAGAGGACAAACCAGACTACTGCTAGTGAATATCAACGCGGCTATCATTCTGGTGAATTCTGTGCAACACTGTAGTTTAGCATGAACATTGGTAGATCTAAATATATTAATTCTATTGAAAAGTTTGGAACTGCGGGTTTCCTCGCGACTTTGTTCCAACTTCCGGGGGTACCCTAATCTGTCCAGCCCCTGCGAAATGTATTTCATTGATCCTTGTATATGTTTCAATAAAAAGAAACCTCACTCATCAGAGATTTATAGAAATTATAATGTAAATTGTGGCTGCTCTTTTGTTGACATATGCAGGTTGTATTCCAACAGCTATTGCTACACTATATACCTCAAAGACTACTTTACGCAAGAATGTGCGAAGGAATGAATGGAAGTGTTAATTTCATATCAGGAACTTTCTCACCCAGTACAAACCCGTCTACTCGTTCGGCCAATAAAACATATCGCTCAATGGAATTTTTTCAGATAGGTCTCATCACGTTCATAGTAACATTAATTCATTCCAGTATTGCGCATTTTTTCAAGATAAAACCAAAATTACTATCACGTTTTTGTCGGGACTTTTTCAGCTTTATGACGCAGACCGCTCTTTACAGCTGCAGTACGATACTTGTTTGGTTGTCACAAGCCTTACAGTTTAGCAACAAAACTAGCCTGCTCATCAACCGACAGCACCGGAATTGATGAATGTTTAAAAGGGAAACTGAAAAGTACCTGGTACAATTTAAATCAGGTTTCAATACCTTATTAGTGCACCGGTGATGATAGTCATAATACAAATCAAAAGATGTATGTGTGCACTAATAGAAGTTTTTAGTATTTCTGTGACACGTATAAAAATAAATACAGTGTGAAATGGGAGCAAATCAAAAAGGAACTTATCGTGTGAGAGTACCTTGGTGAAAGTCCGGAC